TTGAAGAAAAGAAGTGTGAGTTAATGACGTGTGAAGCGTCCTGCCTGCGACCTCTCCTGTGTGCAATTTAATGTCCCAGCTGGTGTTTTGAACCCACTTTTCCCCTCTAGCACGGAGTGTTTGTGCAGATGCTACATTTTGCTCTGTCTTTTAACAGTTGTGTATCCACGCGCAAAATGGCAGGAAATGCCAGTATGTGGGCAACTGCTCCTTCGCCCACAGCCCTGAGGAGAGAGACATGTGGACCTTCATGAAGGAAAATAAAAGTGAGTGGGGGAAACATGGGCCAGAGAGTTTGAGGAGAGGGAAGAGGACATTTGGGCAGTGGATGCAGGGTCTGTTAAGACATACTTTTGACAACAGAAACAGAGCTGGACAGAGCTGGCACCATGAGCTTAGGTGGGATGATGGGGCAGGTCTGTCTACAGTAATTTAGAGCTGCTCTTCAACGTGCATGTACATCTTGAGTCCCTCGCTCTGGGACTAGTGCACGCTGGTCCCATGTCTTGCATTGCTCTGTTGCTGCCCTCTCTTTCTGCAGCTCTTTAAATCCACCTCGTGCTGTCCCTCCCGTTGCCTGTACTGTCCCAGGCCTGGCTCTGTATGGAGCTCTGCCAAAGCACCAGTCCTGACCTGTAGCTGCTCCTGTATCTTTCCTGTCTGTCTTGTATCTGCCTTGGCTTTCTTGCCCATTTCTGCACATACCCCTTGCTGCTGGGCTGCGGCACTCCCTGCTCATGGCATTGTATTCAACGGGGTGGATTTGAGATCCTGAATGAGCACATCGTTGGGTGGTGCCTTTGTGGAGGAGCTTGTCTGGAATTAATTATGCGGACTCCCAACTTACCTTTTGGGTGAAAGCTATGGGGTTGCCCATGTCCTGGACTTCCAGCTCTCTGGCAGCAATCCATGTTTTCTCAGACCAACAGCAAGCTCTTTGCAAGGCCCAGTTGTCCAGGTGCTCACCTAGCTCTGTTGGGAGATGCTGGAAAGCGTGAAGGGTTTCAGGCCTGCTCTGCCTTTGTTCTGTCTTTATGCTTGGATAGAGGGTCTTTCTCTCTGCTGGGCCAAATGCTGTTATTTGTTACAGTTCAAGCCATTTCGTTGCTGAGGCCTTTCAAGCATATCAGACTGGGCTGGGTGTGTTTGCTCAAGCAAACAAAGGTGAATGTTCAAATGACAGCATTGTTTTCAGTTTGGGGGAATTTGCATTCATTATCCCAAATTGCCTTGAATTCCTCCATTACCCATTTGGCGAGGAGTAAATCACTAACGCATCACACTTACAGCGTCGCATCGGTGTCTGCAAACATGTATGTTTCCATACCCTCTCTCAGGAGCTGATCTTGGAAAGGCAGATGTGCTGCCAAAGCTTCCACCCAAAAATTTCCCTTCCCACTAGTATCCTGAGTGGGTTTTAAATCAAAAGCACCAAGAAACGTTGACTCCGCTCCTCTGGGCAGGTTTTGAACGTGGAGCAAGCCATCATTAGGTCTTCCTCCTCAGTGCTTCCTGTGGCCAGGTTGCTTAAGGATTCTCCTCCCTCTGGAGTGCTGAGGATGAAGTATAGGCTTAGAGGGAAGGGACAGATCTGAATCCAGCCCCTGCCTCGGCTCTGTGGCTGGAGTGAGGTGTCTGCTGAGGTCAAGCAGAATCAGGCCTGATGGAGAATCACCTTGTGGTGTGAAGTCCATGGAGATCTTGGAGCACTTTCCTTGCTTCCTGAATACTTGGTGTGGCTGCAGTCCTGGTTACCCCTCGACTCATAGAAGACATCCCCTCACCCCAGGTGGCGTGGTGTGAATTTGGTTCCTCTCCCCAGGGCTCTCATCCGGGGAGGTGACATCTGGCCTCCCGAGCGCAGGCCTTCAGTCTGACGCAGGCGCTGCTGCACAGGAGAGGGGAGGGAAGGGCTGCCCCAGCGTCCGCCCTTTTCTCGTAGTTTGTGCACGGTGCGGGAGGTTGTCTTGAGTGACTTCACGGGTCGCCTTTGTGCAGTACTAGATATGCAGCAGACCTATGATATGTGGCTAAAGAAACATAATCCTGGGAAGCCTGGAGAAGGGACACCGCTCACCTCACGAGAAGGGGAGAAACAGATCCAGATGCCCACCGACTATGCTGACATCATGGTAATCAGCTGATCTCTTGTCCTTCATCCCTCCTCTTCCTTCTCGGTGCTGACAGCCTGCCCCTCTCCTGTGCCCCAGGTGTGAGCTAGCAGGGACTGTGTTGCTCTTGTGGGAAAGAGCCCGTGCTAATGTAGGTTAAATGGACAGCTTGGAGCAGCATAGCAAGGGCGGCACAGATGAGGTGGGAAGGGATTGACCTGGGGTCAGCAAGGCTCTGCAATGGCTTTTCTGTTAATCCTCAAGTCAGTAGGAGTCTACCCAAGGTTCCCTTTTGCATGGACTCAGCCTCTCCCCAGGGTTCGTGCCCACTCCTGGGAAAGCTGGGAAAACCATTGCTGGCCTGTCAGGAAAGAGGGAGAAAGTTGGAGAAGAGATGGGTCTGGAGTGCAGAGGCTTGGGAAAACTGGAGGCAGATGTGTCCCCTTAGCCCAGGGGTGGTGGCTGGTGTAAGGGTTGGTGCTCCTGAAGAGTCCTGCATTGCTTGTGCATCTGGGGACCTTGCAGTCAGACCCCACCTGGGCTGTGAGCAGGGCAGGGGGCCCATGTCAGTGAACTGAGCTGTCCTGTTCTCTGAGCCCATTTGAGCTGTAGGTAGACCTCGACAGAGCATCGCCTCTGCTCCCCCTTAGTGGCAGCACAGCACCCTAAAGGTGACATGGCAGGGAAGTGCGGGAGGTCATAGACTGAGTGGAACTTCCAGGATGCTCTGGAAGGAGAAGGGGAGAGGCAGGGCTGGCACGGGGAAGGCCGATGGGTGTGACTGTTAGCGCACTGACTGGCCCTTTGCCCTGTCTGCACCGGTTAGATGGGCTACCACTGCTGGCTCTGTGGGAAGAACAGCAACAGCAAGAAGCAATGGCAGCAGCACATCCAGTCGGAGAAGCACAAGGAGAAGGTCTTCACCTCAGACAGTGACTCCAGCTGCTGGAGCTACCGCTTCCCCATGGGCGAGTTCCGGCTCTGTGAAAGGTACTGTTGTCTCACATCCCTCCTGTGCTGCTGCCCAGGGCCTCCGTCATCCTTCCTCCACCATCTCCTCCACCTCTCACAGAGTCCCCAGGGACTTCTGCTTGGAGGAGTGGGGTGAGCTGACAGGTTTGGGTGACAGTGGGGCTGCTGTTGGACCCCAGAGGTGCTCAGCCACACTACTGCGTGGTAAAAATACATTCCCAAGCATGTATTTTTAGAAGAGGAGGGCGAGCTTCACGTCTGCACCTGTGCCCTCCATGGCCAGGATGCTCTCAGCTCTCAAGGTGCTGAACAGTGTGCTTGTCCCAATGCTTGGGGGAATCCCAGGTGCTTTATTAAATGGTTTGAATGTCTTGCACCCTCTGAATCAGCACCTTGAGCTGTCTTCAGAAAGCTTGTGATAGAAATGCTGTTTTGGTTAGAGAGAAGGCTGTTACTTGGCGTTTCCTCTCTTGGGTGGTGGTTTCTCTTCATCCCTGCTGGTCCAGTTCCAGCTCACATTGTTTCATTCTGTTGACTTAAATCCCCTCGTAGACGTTGCTCTGTTCACTGCTCTGTTTCTGTGCCCAGCCTCCATCTTGCCTTCTCTGGCTGCTCGTGGGTTTGCAGGAGAATCGCTTTGCCCTTAGAAAGGAGAGTTTGCAGCGTGTTTTGGTGGGCCCCGACCGAGTATCCCGGACGGGGAGCTCCAAATCGTGTCCTGGGAGTGCCCTCCTGATCACACTCCTTGTGCCGGCAGGTTCCAGAAGAGCAAGGCCTGCCCTGAAGGAGAGGAGTGTCGCTATGCCCACGGCCAGGACGAGCTGACGGAGTGGCTAGACCGGAGGGAGGTGCTGAAACAGAAACTGGCCAAAGCCCGCAAGGACATGCTGCTCTGCCCCAGGGATGATGACTTCGGGAAATACAACTTCCTATTGCGGGATGGCGTATAGTGAGGGTTGAAGGGGGAGCCTGTCAGCTGGAGAAACACGGGGCGGGTTTTCCGAGAGTGGCAGTAGCAGGGAGAGCGAGATCTGTCTCTCGCAAAGAGAACTTTTTATTTTCTTTTGTTTTAAGATTATGAGACGATGATTTATTAGTGGTGAATGAAATCGTGAATTTGATTCTCCTTGGCCAGCGAACGCCGTGCTCACTGAGTTTGTGATCCGTCTTCTCTCTCTTCTTTCCTCCAAATTCTCCTTCATCTTTTTGTTTTCTCTGTCCTTCATGCAAAGGAATGAATCCAGTCTGTACTGGGCTGCGAATCAGAGAATTTCTCCTTGTATCATTCTCCTGCCCTTCAATTCTGAGTGTGGATGCAGAGGTCCGGAGGACAAAGCTGAGAGAAAGGGACAGACATCTGGTGAAAAGGTGATGATGAGGTTCATGTGCTCCTTTTCTCAGTGCTGCAGAGCAAGCCCCACTTACGCTGCTGCAGCCGGCCTGCTCTCCTGGGAGTTCAGTACCAGAAGAATTAGGAATTGAGGTGCAAAAGAGGGAAAACCACCACTAGATCTGGCTTAAAACATCTAAGCTTAAGCTCCCGGCTGTCTGTGTTGCCCTGAGGCATCAGCTGGTGCTGAGGAGGGTAACGGCCGTCTGGTATAAAGAGCATAGCTAAAAGCAGCAAAGTAATAAAACTGCTTGCAGCAGCAGGAACTGGACTGTAGGTGACTTCAGACTGCTTCAGCTGACTGTACCCAGAAAGCAAATTGGTGACTCTTCGTTAGATGTCTTCCTCAGTGTGCAGCAGGTATGCAGGGTGTGTAGTTTTGGTTTGGTTTTTTGGCTGGTGTGACTGCTGCAAGTAAGACTGAATCCATCTAGAAAGCGTAGTGGAGGCTGTAACAGGCCCTATGCCACTGTAGTCCACCCAGCAGTAGCAGTCAGGAGGAAGGCTGTAACCAAAAGGAGGCTGTGTCTCTGTGTCAGCTTGTTTCCTGAAGAGAGGGAGGGAGGGAGGGAGGGAGTGGGGTTCCTTTCTTGCTCTTTAAATGGCATGTGTTACTGATTATTTGAGCTTCGTTTTTCCCTGCACTGCCAGAAGAACTGGGTGGGGACCTATTTAAAAGGACACCATCGACCAGCATGGGCGATGCTTTGCTGATGGGAATCCAGCTGGAAGGGCGCTTACCAGCACCGGAGGTCCAGCCCCCTCCTCGGAGCTGGGGCAGGGAGCTTGCGGACACACAGTGCAGCCAGGATGCGACCCAGGGCAGGGACCGTGGTGGAAGGCGAGTGGCACAGTAGGACCCCAGCCATGCGCCTGCTCCTGCCCCACCTGATGTGCTCTGCCACGATGGGGGAACCAGTGGTGCTGAGCTCTGCACCGGGATTTTTGGCTTTTGTAGTGGCAGCGGTGAGAGGCGGTACTGCTCCGTATGCCAGCCTTGTCCTTTCTGGTGGTCTCCTCCTGTAAGCCGTAAACGTGTGTCCTGCACTGAGCTTCCCTCTCCTTCTCTCCTCCGCAGCCCAGCTGCGCTCTGCAGTTTTGCATGCACGGATGGCACCGTCCACTCAAACACAAACACGTCTCCCTCCCAGCCTTTGTGGGGGGATGTCTTTTTCAAACCGAGTCTCCCAGGACAGCAAGGTCAGGGCCCTTGGGGCTGGCAGTGCTGTATCCATGGTAAACACAATCTGGCCATCAGCTGCTTGGTACTTTGGCATTGCTGGGTCCCCATTTTTCCCTCCCTGCTTCCAGATCCTTGGGGTTCCCAGCTTCAGGAGAGATGGGATGTGGAAGTACAGGAGATGTGGAAATGCAGGAGATGGCTGGAGGGGGGCACCTTTCTAAAGCAGCCTCCAGGTAGGTGCATCAGCTCCACTGAGGTAGTTACGGCCCAGGAGTGGAGTGCACTGCACGCTGGGCTGGGGTCTTTCCAAGGATCTTGCATGCTCCAAGCAGAACGTGCCTCTGAGCTTGTTTCCCCTCCTTTAAAATGTGGATGGTGGTCACTGGTTTGGTATGAACTTCCCTTCTTGGCTGCGCAGCACCTTGAGATCTGGCCTGGAAGGGGCCAGGACTAACATCTGATGATACAAAGGTTGCTTATTGAGAGAAGAAGGGAGGGAAGTGGTTATTTCCATCTCTGCCCACCTGTGGGGAGGCGGATGGGATGAGGAAGGATCCATAGTGCTGTGGGGAAAGAGAGTGACCAACGCAATAGCAGACTTGAGTGGTGGGGTGCTGTGTTTTTTCCTGTGCCCTCCGCTGTAGCTGCCCGGATTGTACCTTCTGCTGGTGCTCCTTGTGCTCAACTGGTCAGCTTCATAAACGGAGAGAGACGGGGGAAGAGGTAGGCATCAGCTCCTGGGTTGTTTTGTTCTGCTCTTCTTGGGCAGAGACACCAAGGAGGCGGATCTGGATCGGGGAACGTTGGAATCTGTTTTTTATTTTTAAAACAAACCTGCATCTCTAGTGTGGCTCTAGCGTTCGCTGCGCCGTGATTTCTCATACAATAACTCGTTTAGGTTACAGAGTGGGTCGCTGTCCCCTCTCCCCATCTCTGCGATGAGAGCCGAGCTGCTCGCCGGGGCTTCCGAGGGTCAGGTTGGGGCCGAGGCGGGGAGAGGGCGAGCGTGCGTGCGGTGAGGGAGGCCCACGGTCACGGGGGTTGCATCGAGTATCTCTTTTTGTTTTCCCTGATATGATAACCTGGTCTGTGGTGTTGCAGTACTTTGTCACCAGACTTGTTTTAGTGTGTATATATGTGACCCCTCCCATGAAGCATATATACACAGGTATTAAATATATCGCTCTATATAATATTATATGTGTGTGGTATCGAAGGAATCTTTTAAATGAGGGTAAAGGAAAAGGACTCGGGCCAGGAAACGCAGCATCTCCAGTTTAAATATGAATACTTTTATTTGGGTTAGGGAAAGGGAAATAACAGAGAGGGGAGGGTTTTATATAGATAGGTATAAATTTTGAGATGGGACAGGTTTCCCTGCTCACACTTTTGAAACCCCCTAGGATGTCCTCACAGTCCCATCTCAGTGAAAGAGTATTATACTGCTAACTAGCAAGTAAAGTTTTAATGATAAGGCTTTGCTTATATTATTTAAAGGGACATTGTGAAAGGCAGGAAGCTTCACACTTGACTTCCCAGGCTCGCTTTATCAAGCCAAGAGGGTTTTCTTCAGCACGTTATGTACTCTCAGCAGAACTGCTCAGCGCTCGCGGCTCTACAACGGATAAACCACAACTTGGAGGGCTGCTTTGGTGGTGCGGTCACAAGACCCTGTAATAACTCTCTCTTTTCTTCATTCATGTCAGAGAAGAAGAAAATTTTGCAGCGCAGAACCAAATTTGAGGGTTATTAACAAAAGAAGTGATGTTTTAATTCCATAACATTAGAAGAAAATCTCGTATCCTGTAAAATCACCACAGAGAGTAGAGACTTTGATTTAGATCAGCTTGTTAAGTGCTGGAGGACATAGTGAAAATCTTTTCCCAAATCCTTTGGTAGGGGCAGGGCTTTAACTGGTGTTGGAGTTAACCTGACCTTTACAGGGGGAAGTAAAAAACCAAATAATACCCTACTTAGCTTGTATGAAACTGTATGTCAAAAATGGATGGGTTTTAGCAAGTGAAAGGAAAAGATAGCAAGGGGATGCTGCAGTTCTGAGCTGGGTAGTAATGATTTTGAGTCCTTTAATATGTCTTCATATTAATATAATTTAAGAATACCACGCTTTACTATTAAAAAAGAACTTAGTATCTTTCAAAAGGTCTAGTATCAGGATAATAATGTAGATGTTTTAACAACATTTTTGGTTTTGTTCTTAAATAAAAAAGAAAAAAACAAACTTGCTTCTTTTAGCCTTTGTAATAGAAAATAAAAGTGTGCACTTTAAACCCTCTCCTGATCAGTGTGTGTTTGCATTTTTCAAATAGCCCGCAAAGGCTTTTCATCTTGGTTTCGGGTTTGTTACAGTCCGGAAGAGGTGAACCAGGCTGCCGATTCGAATACCCGTCAAGAGATTAAGGCACAAACGAGGCCATATATTGTCAATACCACTACAAACTTTTATTTAGAGAGAGGAGAGAAAGAGAGAGAGAGAGAGAGAAGAGAAAGAGATAGAGAGGAAGAAGAAGAGCACGCCGCAGTAGTCACCACCAGGGATCTGTTGCGTCGAGTTGTTCCGCTCTGGGGGTTCTAGGCAGGCAGGCAGGTTCTCGGCTCTGCTCCGCTCCCCTCGGTCCTTCTTCTTGCTCTCCTCCCCTGAGGGGCTGCCAAGGGTCCTGTTTGTACCATAGTCCCAGGCCAATCCGATGGTGATGTGTTGCGGTCAAGCGATGAGATCCAATCCGGCAGCGGCATGTTGCTTCCGCGCGCCGATCACGAGCTGGCAGTCCATGCAGCCTCCATTACACAGCTTGCAAGCTGCAGCGCATAAGCCGAACAAATTCATGCCTTTAGCTGTTACCAGGAAGCGACAAGCAAAATGTTTACAAAGAGGTGTTCTTCTAAGAAGTTGCTTCAGGCCTTCAGACAGTGCGCTGTCGTTCTACTGAGTCTCTGCTTCCTCTCAAAACCACAAGGTACAAAGTTTGAGACAAACATGTCCTAATTCTTACAGGGTTTCCCTGCTGTAAGGAGGGAAGCAAAGGGAGGACTTCAAGCATTGGATCGCTTTCGCTTTCTCCCGTCTTTAAGTATAATCTCCTGCTCTTCTTGCTGAGTGGAAAATTGCCTATGTGTTTATTAACAGATTCTGCAGTTCTTCATCAGATGCACAGTTCTTCTGAACTTCAGCTGTATTTAAGATTTTTTTTTTTTTTCTTTCCTCTAAGCACCAAGAATCTGCACACTCTGCATTAACACAGTTTCATGTCTTTGGGTAACCCGTGTTTTGAAACCTCCAGTAATCGGGTCTTGTAATCACCCTCAACTAGAGGTTGTCCCACTGTTGGCTGCTCTGTTCAGCTGGGTCATCCTGCCAG